CTCGAATGTCAAATTTTTCAACTCTCCTAAAAAAGTTCCATTTTTGCACTAATCCTAGTTTAACACTTCGCAACAGAATTATAAGATCGTCAAAATCAACGATTATAAATCTTTCATTCGAAAACAAAAAGATTTTAAGACTAATTGCTCTATATCAGAATGTATTGAATCGATTGACAGAAAATTTCATACACAAATGTGACTCAATAATACTAATTAGTAACCAGAATAACAGGTTTCTATTCCAAGTTTTATGGGTATTATGGAACACCAGATTAACTTTCAATTGAAAAAATGAGAAAAACGCGAATATCTCGAAAACTTTGTGTGAGCTATTTTTCATATTTTGATTGATCTTGACAGGGGCGGCAAGACGAGTATTTTGAAAAAAAATGAAATCAATCGGGCCAGTAGTTTGGGAGATATTGAACAAAACAGGTTTTCACATAAAGTTGAATATCTTCCAAACCACTTGTGGGATTTCGCCTAGCCACAATCCCATCCTGTAATATCATAAGAGCTACATCCTCACCAAATTTCAACATCGTATCATGAAGCTGAAACTAGCAGAATATTCGTCAGTGGAAAATTCAATTGAGGGGATATTTAAGTGTTGGAGGGTCAAATAATCATATATGTATACAAATGTTTTTTAAGTGCGAAAGAGTTTGTACATTACTGAAGGGGAAACTACTATGAGTTTTAATAGTCGTGGGTTATTGGAGTGAGACTTTTCATACGTTGAAGATCGATTATATAGATCTGAAAACGAATAATTAGTGCGAAAAAATTTTTTTTCTTTTGTTCTTTTGTTCGTTTGCCCGAAAACGCTTAAAATGTCAAAAACAGTCCAGGGCCTCCAATTTTTGAGCTGCGAGAAATTTTTTTTTTAAATTGTCGGAAAAATATGCGGAATACCAATTGTGAGCTAGTTTTGTTTTTCTAATTCGCCTCTTACATGACTAAATTTGCTTTTTCATCACGCTGTGACGAAAAGTCAACTTTTCGGCACGCTCCGCGTGCCTTAAAGTCCAATTTCCGCCACATTGTGATGAAAAATATTGTTCGTAACTCGTGAAAAAATGTTTTTTAGCTCGTGAGATTATATCACTCGCCTTCGGCTCGTGATATAAACCTCCCACTCGCCAAAAAATACTTTTTTGCACTCGTTACGAAATATACTATCTTTGTATTTTTTTTCACAAATAGCGGTTTTTGTTATATGAAAAAAACCGAAATCAACTATGTAGGAATCGAATTCCAAAAAACTGGCTCGTAATTGTTGTTCCACACATTTTTACAAAAATTTTGAAAAAAAAAAATATTTTACAGTTCAATTTTGTAGCGTTTTCGGGCAAACGAACAATAAAAAAAAAATTTTTTTGCACTAATTATTCGTTTTGAGATCTATATAATCGATCTTCAACGTATGAAAAGTCTCACTCCAATAACCCACGACTTTAAAAACTCCCCTTAAAAACATTTCAGTAGCGAAGTGGTAAAAGGAGATAAGTCAATTTTGACTATTAACCAGTTTTCAATCAATATCTTGTAATCTATGGGAGATAGCGAAATTTTCGTAATTACATTTGTTGTAGCACTCCATCGGCTCCACAAAAAAAGTCATAACAAAAATTTCGCTATCTCCCTTAGATTGTGAGATATTGATTGAATCAAAATTGACTTATCTCCTTTTACCACTTCGCTACTGATTTGTACACCCCTAGATTCGCCTGAGACAAATCTTCTGCTGTCGAATCTCTCGCTAGCTTCAGCTTTATCATCGTATCTAAATTTTTTCGAGAGTTATCGTGTTCAGAACGATTTTATCACAAAAACGAAAAATCTAAATTATTACCAAACTGTCCCTAGTTCCAAAGCAATATTGTGATTTGATTTGATAGATACCATCACAAGGAATATTTTGACGTCAAAAAAACTCAATTCAGTCACCTAGTTTTCGAGATATTGAGGAAAAAAGATTTTTGAGAAATTGCTGTATCTCGAAAACTACTTGACCGGTTGAGCTGAAATTGCGCCCAGAAGTGCTCCAAAGTAATATCAATTATGTGACGAAATTTCAGATTTTTAGCTTCAACTTTACTCCCTTTTCTGTAAAGATTTCTCCAAAATTTTCGACAAATTCGCCCACATTTTCTAAAAACATCAAATCCTCACGTTTTATGACACTACGTCATTTCCAGGCAAAATTGGAAGATCGTCAAAATGAACCATAACAAAACTTCCATTCGGAACCAAAAAAACCGCACCTCGTAATTTGGTGACAGGCCAAAATTCCCACGTCAAAATTCCCCGGTCAAAATTCCCGTTGTTATTATTCCTTTCTGTCAGAATTCCCTCGCACAATAATTCCTCGTGCTCATAATCCGCCCGTCTATAATTCCCATACAACTGATATTATTGATTGCAACGTTTAATTCATTTAATTTACAACATTATAGTCAATTCGGCGTAGCTCCTCTAGAATGTCGACATTTCCACACTCTTACAACTTTTTTTAGTCTTTCATCATACTGAGCATATCGTGAGTGGGAATTTTGGTATGTAATCCGTCATTTTTTATATTAATTAACAACGGAAGTAAACCCCCCGAGACATTGAACTTATACACCGAAAAGCCGAATCAAATGTCTTTGATTACCTCGAGCCATCAGTAAACACGCATTAACTTATCTCCCCGAAGATAACGTTGCAAAGAACAAAATAAAAAGGATGGCGCCGTCTCCTTTGACACCCGATCAAACCGTAAAAACTGTATTTAATAAACATTGAAAAAAACTCCCCGCGGCTGATGAGCGTGGAAAATATTAAACGTTATTGCATATTGAGCCGTCAATTCTCAACATTACAGAGAGGAGTCAAGCCCATCGGGGCTCATCGTGTGCGTGCCAACCGAAGGAGGAAGAAAGGCAACTTTTGCCTCGGCTTATGGGCCTCGGGGGCCTTTGATGTTTTGCCGCCCCATCGTCACCGGTCGACTTGCCACCGCCTGCCGTCCGCCACCATCACCTCTGCACGCGATCATCATCCTACAATTTACGTACATGAAATGTTTCGTAAAGGGCACATGAACAATTAAGTCCCCAAAGAATCACAAATAGGAGGAATAAAGGGGGAATAATGCGCAAAGAGACGGGCGAAATAAAAGGGAAGGAAAAAAAAATTGTCAGATGCTTTGTGACACTGACCGATGTCGATTAGGGAACGGCGGGGGGGGGGACAACCGG